TAGCGAGACTCATCTCTACAATAAATCAAAAAATCAGCCAGGCGTGGTAGCGCATGCCTGTACTTCTGGCTACTTGGAAGGCTGAGGCGGAAGGATCGTCGGAGGCCAGCAGGTCGAGGCCGCGGGGGCCGGGAGCGGCCACTGCACTCCAGTCTGGGCGACTGAGTGAGACTCCGACTCAAAAAAAAAAAAAGTTGCGGAAACTGAAACAGCGTTAATGGCGCACGTACAAACAGAACATGGAACAGAATGAAGACCAGACTCAGGCCCACACACACGTGGGGAAAGGACAGGATACGGAGGCAGCACCACAGGTGAGTGGGGAAAAGGAGGCAGCCAGGCTCGGCGGCTCAGCCTATCATCCAGCACTTTGGGCGGCCGAGGCGAGTGGACTGCCTGCGCCCGAGGGTTCGAGACCAGCCAGGCAGCTTCATGAGGCCTTGCCTCTACAATAAAATTAAAACAGCAGCCGGGCATGGTAGCACATGCCTGTACTTCCAGTTACTTGGAAGCCTGAGGTGGAAGGATCGTTGGAGCCCAGCAGGTCGACGCTGGGGTGGCCCTGAGTGTGCTGCCGCACTCCAGTCTGGGCGATGGAGTGAGACTCCAACTCAAAAAAAAAAGAATCAGCCAGGCATGGTAGTGCATGCGTCTGTAGTTCCGGCTACTTGGAAGGCTGAGGCAGCAGAAGAATTGCCGGAGCCCAGAGGTCAGCTCTGGGGTGACCGTGATCATGCCACTGCACTCCAGTCTGGGCGACGAAGTGCAACTCCAACTCAAAAAAAGGAGTCAATGAATGATATGGGGACGGGGGTGACACATATGGAAGATAAAATTAGCTTTGGAACTCACACCAAACACAAAATAAATTATAAGTAAATTAATCAACAGGCGCAAAGCAAAATTTTAAATCTTTTAGAAGAAAATCTTCATGACTACTTGAAAAAACACATAAAAGCACATATCATAAAGGTAAAAACTGATAATTACAACTATAACACATTTAAATCTAAAATTCTATACACTACATAAGAAGATCATCACTCCTGAGAGAAGCTATCTGTACCTAACAAAGGATTAGAACTCAATGCATAACCCATCCCCCAAAAAAGGAAAAACTATACAAATTAATATGGAAAGTACAAAAAGCCAAACAGAAAAAATTGGGCAAAAGATATACAAAGGAAATACAGAGGAGGAAATCCCAATAACCGTTATGAAGAAAGCTCAATCTAGCCAGGCTCGGTGGCTCAGCCTGTAATCCCGCGCCTTTGGGAGACTGAGGTGAGTGGATTGCCGGAGCCCGTGGGTTCGAGACCTACCTGGGCAACTTGGCAAGACCTTATCTCTACAATAAATCAAAAACTAGCTGGGTATGGTAGCACGTGCCTGTAGTTCCAGCTACTTGGAAGGCTGAGGTGGAAGGATCGCCGGAGCCCAGCAGGTCGAGGCTGCAGTGGCCAGGAGCGGCCACTGCACTCCCGTCTGGGCGACAGAGTGAGACTCCAACTTAAAAAAAAAAGGAAGCTCAATCTTACTAGTAACTGGGGCAAAATGGAAATTAAAACAGTAAGGTTGCTTTATGCTTATCATATTGTGGCAGTCAAGGTGTCTGCAACATTAAGTACTGGAGAGGTTGTGAGTAACAAGCCTTCCACACAGCCAATGGGAGTGTAAACTGGCACGAGGTAAAAATGAGCACAAAGTATCACCCAGCAATTCTACCTCCAGACATGTGCCCTAAAGAAACATACACATGCAGGCCGGGCACGGTGGCTCACGCCTATAATCCCAGCACTTTGGGAGGCCGAGGTGAGAGGACTGCCTGAACGCAGGGGTTTGAGACCCACCTGAGCAACATGGCAAGACCTTGTCTTACAATAATCAAAAAACAAGCCGGGCATGATAGCACACGCCTGTGGTTCCAGCTACTGGGAAGGCTGAGGTGGAAGGATCGCCTGAGCCCAGCAGGTCGAGACTGAGGTGGCCATGAGCATGCCACTGCACTCCAGCCTGGGTGACAGAGTGAAACTCTAACTCAAAAAAACCAAAAAACAAAAAACCAACAACAACTGCACATAAGAGTATAGAAAGCTAACAGGCTTGGGACAGCAAAACTCTGCTTCAGGAGATGGGACCACCAAACGCTTCCCAGTGTTTGCTTTGACATGCAGCTGCACACGCGCTGGCCCCAGTTGACAGATGAGTTCCCAATTTTCATCTGAAGGCTGGTTATGCAGCAATGATGTCATTCACTCAAAACATGTTACAAAAGGCTGGAGCCCAGCAGGTCGAGGCTGCGGTGGCCGGGAGCAGCCACTGCACTCCAGTCTGGGCAACACAGTGAGACTCCAACTCAAAAAAAAAAGATTTATGAAGGGAGGGACCAGGAGGCTCAGGCATGTAATCCCAGGACTCTGGGAGGCCAAGGTGGGAGAACTGTTTGAGCCCAGGAGTTCAAGACCAGCCTGGGCAACATGACAAGACCCTGTCTCTACAAAAAAATTTTTTAAATTAGCTGGGCATGGAACATCTGTAGTCCCAGCTACTCGGGAGGCTGAGGCAGCAGAATCAATTGAGCCCAGGTGTTGAAGGCAGCAGGGCGCTATGATGGTGCCAATGCAATCCAGCCTGGGCAACAGAGTGAGACTGATTCTAAATAAATAAATAAATAAATAAAGACCTATGAAGACAGAGAGCCACTGGCTTTATTTGCATTAATGCATGCACACGTTCAGAAGGGGCTGCTGAGTCTCCCATGAGTGAGAGTCCTGGTGATCCAGACACTGTGGAAACTCTCTCTTCCCCTCCTTCCCAGTGGTGGAATGTGGTGGTCATTCTGATGACCCAGATACTAGATGCTGTACGCTGAATGACATCACACATTTCAGTCTTCAGCCAATGTGCCAGGCGGACTAAATATGGTCCTTTATCAGCCAAAAAAGCAGAGACCAAGCATGCAGGTTGTTAATGCTATCGATGGCAACAGGCCACGATACAGCAAAAAAATATTCAGCTACATATTCAACATAGTACCATGTGCACAATGTGTCAGAATACCAAAATTAACTAAACCAACCAAAAGTAATAATAATTCAAAATGACTTTCCTCCCACAGAAAGGAAACACAGACCCCATTTTAAGAGTACTGCAGTAACAAAAAAATTCTGATACAATTCAATATCAAGAGCTAAAAACTCTCAACAGACTAGGCACAGAAGGACCATACCTCAAAATAATAAAGACCACGTGTGACAAACCCACAGCCAACCGTACCCGACGGGGAGAAGCAGAAAGCTTTTCCTATAAGAATCAGAACAAGACAAGAGTGCCCACTCACACCCTTCCTATTCAGCCTCTACTGAAAGCCCAGCGGAAGCAATCAGGCAAAAGAAGGAAAAAGAAGGCATCCAAATGAGAAGGGAGGGGTCTAGTTCCCCTCTTAGCTGATGACAGGATCTGGCATCTGGATGACATTCTGTAATAACTTAAATTCTTCACCAAAAAACCCTTAGATTTGATCAATGAATTCAGTAAAGTTGCAGGATACAAAATCAATATATGAAAATCAGGAGTGTTTCCATACACCA